GGTGCAAATTAAACAAAGAAAAATTCAAACCTCTTTTAGTTAGTGTCTGTCTACATTACACTACTACATAATAATAGTTATAATATTAATCCCATGATCATAGGCCTATATTGTAAAACAAATGCACTGAAAAATAAAGTAAACTTTCATAATTAGTTTTGTACTAATTTCTATACTTGAAAGATATAAGCACATGATGACGTTTCATGAGCCGGTGTGTCAGAAAAAAAACTAACGCTGACTTTTTTTGACCAATGCATTACACCGGCACTAACCCAGCGCCGCCAATTAAGTAAAAAAAAAAAAAAAAAAAAAAAACCAATGGGCCGCCGATGTAAGAGTTTTATGGGCCGTTAAGACAAAAAAAAAAAAAAGTATGAGATGTATCGGCCGAAAAAGCACGTCGGCCCACCGGGAATCTCCCGGTAGTCCCGATGGCCACAGAGATATAAATAGCCTACATGCCTGGATGTCACACTTTAAATCCTACCTGTTGGCTTTCAGCATGCACTTATTTAGCTGCTGTCGCATCAGTTGACATGCCATCTCCTTTTCCCTCTTTCTTTTTCTATTTTTAGCCCCACAGCATTTTGTTTTATCCATCTTTTTCGACGACAACTCATACTCGTACCTGCTCGCTCAGCGCTCACGGCGCCCCCGCGCGCTCGCGATATCACCCCGCCCCCCTTCTCCATGAGGGAGCCTACTCTAGCCTGTTAGTCCTCTAAAATTTTATATAACATTGAAGAAATGCAGAAATGATTTAAAAAACGCACAACAGCAGCTACATATAGAAAATACAATATATGCATATATATATATATATATATATATTTTTTTTTACCATCGCTTTGGCGCCCCCCATGGTGCTGCGCCCCTATGCGCCGCATATAGCGCATACCCACTTTTTGCGCCACTGCCTTTTAGCCTGACACACAGACACTGGTTCAACCAATAGAATGAGTTCGGGGGTGGGACGATCTGTCTGCCCAACCAATGGAATGAGTTCGGGGGTGGGACGATCTGTCTACCCAACCAATGGAATGAGTTCGGGGGTGGGACGATCTGTCTGCCCAACCGTTCGGGGGTGGGACGATCTGTCTGCCCAACCAATGGAATGAGTTTGGGGGTGGGACAATCTGTCTGCCCAACCAATAGAATGAGTTCGGGGGTGGGACGATCTGTCTGCCCAACCAATAGAATGAGTTCGGGGGTGGGACGATCTGTCTGCCCAACCAATGGAATGAGTTCGGGGGTGGGACGATCTGTCTGATCAACCAATGGAATGCGTTCGGGGGTGGGACGATCTGTCTGCCCAACCAATGGAATGAGTTTGGGGGTGGGACGATCTGTCTGCCCAACCAATGGAATGAGTTTGGGGGTGGGACGATCTGTCTGCCCAACCAATGGAATGAGTTCGGGGGTGGGACGATCTGTCTGCCCAACCAATGGAATGAGTTCGGGGGTGGGACGATCTGTCTGCCCAACCAATGGAATGAGTTCGGGGGTGGGACGATCTGTCTGCCCAACCAATAGAATGAGTTCGGGGGTGGGACGATCTGTCTGCCCAACCAATAGAATGAGTTCGTGGGTGGGACGATCTGTCTGCCCAACCAATGGAATGAGTTCGGGGGTGGGACGATCTGTCTGCTCAACCAATGGAATGTAGGGGGAGTGTTTGAGAAACCTGTTTGAAAATGATTATTTTTGCAATTTTGTTTGCAAGAAACATTAACAATCAGCATAAAGTAAAGATGAACAGAACACCTTCAGAAAAAGTGAGGGTGCAGGAAAGATTTGAAGTATCATTCATAACTCATGTATTTTCTCTTCTTATATATTTTTCTGCCCTGTTGCTGTGACAAATTTACATATTTGTCTTCTGTCAAATATTACTATATTTCTGTTTATATTGGCTTCACTGTCAATAATGAGGGCAATTATATACTTATAATAATGTAATTTTAGTATTTAAAATACTAGTTTTTATTAATATTTTTCATTAGTTTTTATTTTTAGATTTTCCATTTTAATTTTAATTAACATTTTAGTCATTTTGTTGTGTTTGTGTCATTTCGTCATGATTAAAAAAAATAAGTATAGTTTATATTTATTTTTATTTCAGTTTTATAGATTAAGTTAAACTAAATGAAAACAAGAAAAGTTTTTTTAATGTTTTTATTTCAGTTTTATTTATTTTTTATTTTTATATACCAAAATTTTAGTTTTTTTATGGCTTTAGTTTTAGTTAGCTTTAGTAAGCAAAAACAGTAATGGGTTGAATGAAGGAAAACAGATTATGTCTTTAACTGCTGCCAAATAGAAAACAAAAACAAAAAAACATTTAATAACAGATTGATTAAATGACAGCAAAGAAAGAAACAGTGGGAAAACAACTGATATTTTTCAGTACAATCATTCTTAAAAGGCCTGACTGGCCTCAACGGAACTTTTTGCTCCCATACATCTATTTTTACTTGATCTAATCTCCTTAAATATTCCGGGGCTGTTAAATGTCTCTAGAGTTTATCTCTGATATGTTCTCTATTTTATGTCCAAATCTGGTGAGAAAATACATAAATGATTTCTTCCCTGCTATACTGATTTGCAAATTAATGGAAAATATTAATAATAATAACCCACATAAATGTTCTGTGTGTATAGCATCAGCTGTCTGAGCATTAAATATCTGAACTGGACAAACACTGGGGACATCCAAATGAGTTTTGATCTCAATGAAAGGTCATATTAGTGCATTTGGCATGATGCATTTAATATCATTCATTTATCTTTCTCATCATCAATCAGATTAATAAGTATGCACTGATTGTCCATCCAAGAGGTCAAGGTTAAGCATGGTCCAGTTTGCCCCTGTTGGTAGATGTTGTAACTACACTTCTCAACATCTTTCTCCCTTCATCTTCTCCTTTTTTCACAGTTAGCTCTCCATTTCAGTTGACTGCCTTTTTCTTTTGTTTTTTTGTTGTAGTGTTTTTTTTTTTATATCCAGATTGCTTGTTGATTATTGTACTGTTTGTACACACTACGTTTTCAAAAAAGGGACAATCACATGTAATGTAATATTCAACTATTTTGCTGGGTAAACGCACCATTTTATTCACAAAGTCAAATACACTCAAGTTTCTTCATTTGAAACAAGATCAAAAGGCCACGACAACAACATGATAGCATCCACATTAACCATTACAGATCAAAAAGTTCTTTTCATCTTGCAGTGTCCTTTTTTTATGGTCAACGAGTCTATGACCATTCACAAGATGAAAAGCATAATCAGTATGCTCTTCAGAAAATACAATCAGCGCAAAAAGCATTATGAAGGATTGAACCACAAAACAGCAATGAAGGAAATAGTTTCTGTATCAGGATAATTCCATAAAGGCACCACAAGAGCACATGTCAACCCCAGTTCATTCCTGCCAGGATTCACCGTGTACACAATACTGACTAAATAATACAGAGAAACATCAGGCAATGATCAATACAGCTCTTTTAAAATGACTTTTACTTGTAAAGCAGACAAGGACACTGGCTATTTTTTGTTCACATTTGAAAACAATCAAGTGCTTTCTTCAAATCAATACCTCTGTAAACTTAAAACCAAATATCTCCATGAAAAATATTTATCTATTCCAAATATTTAGAATAATCAGTCCCAGTTACCTCATTAGAACTGCAAGTCACCATGAAAAATATCCATATATCTATCCAAATATTGCAAATAAAACAAAATAAATACATACTGAGTAAATCACATCAAATTTGTTCATTCCTTCACATTAAAATGGGGTTTCCTCTCCAGCGGCGCCTACAGGTGTACAACTATTTGGACAGGGCAAGTGGTTTGACTGTCTAGAGAAACTTTTCTCTGCTAATATTTCAAACGAAAACATACAAATGAGAAACGAATTCATCGGAATTAGCTATCAATTCGCACAAAACATAAAATAGCTACTATTTTATGATAATAAAATAATATAAACCAATATAATATAATCCAACTGTGTTGGATATTCACCTACAAACTGAAACAAAAGACTGCTTTTTGAGTGGTAACTAAGGGGTCGTTTACACTGCACCGTTTTCAACTAAAAACGGAAAACTTTGTATGCGTTTTGGCCCTTCATTTACACGACATTGGCATGTTGGGGGCCTGAAAACGCAAACTTTTGAAAATAGGATTCAAAATTGCATGTTTTTTTTGTAACGAGACGAAGAAGAAAAACTTCCGCTTTTTGTTCATTGTTGTGATGTAGATGTATAAGGCCTGTTTCACACTGGACCTGTATGCAGAGCATAAGGAGTGAGTTAAACTTAAACCTCTATAACTTTTTTTTTTTTTTTTTTTTACTTTAACAATAATCTGCCAAGGGTCCTCTTTAAAATGAGACCAAACTTATGCCTCTGCTCCCAAGATTCACATTTTTATGACAGTTTTTTTTTGGCATAGACATTTTTGTCCACTATGGACCTACAGGTATATGTGTAACTTTTTTTAATTGATGCACAAGGGTTAAGGTGTGTTCAACATCAATGTTCCGTGAGAGCGATTCAAAAAGCGTGAATGCAGCAAAAGCACAATTAAACTGACACATTCTGCTTCCTTCTGCGCTGCTTCCGCTCTGCTTATTCGTCCAGTGTGAAACAGCATTCATTCAAACCGAAAGTGTTTTTGTGTTCACCTGCATTATTTTTCAGTTCTTATATGAACATGCACTCCATGAATGTCTTTGACTACGGTATTTCATTGATTTTTGTGTTTTAAAAGGTGTCTAGACACCTTCGTTCTGTTCAGTTGTGCAATTGCTCTCGCTGATCGTTTGATCTAAAGTGTCTCAAATCTTATAGAAGTGAGTAAGAGTTAGGCTACATAAATGCTAGATATATTCAAGAAAATTACTTCTCAGTTTTAAGTTTTACATTTTTTTGAACTTTTTAGTGTTGTTTTTGCAACACAAATCATGAATCATGAAATTGTTCCATTCTGTTTTCTGTGGAATGCAAATGGAGAATTTTGAAGAAGAGAAGATCTTCATTTTTGGGTGAACTATTCCTATAATATAACTCTGAACAAGAAGAAGTTAAATATGCCTGTTCAGCTCTAATGGCAGACAGCGTTGCCATTGACAAGGCTGAAGCTGGCCACAGAGTGGTTCTGGGTGCTTTTGAGTGAACTCAGTCGCGTGTTGTTACGCCTAGTGTTTTGTGTGCGCAGAGAGATGGATGGGCAGCAGCAGCAAAGCTGCTTGTTGAACTGCTTCCTAAAGGATTTGCTGAGAAGGTAGAGAGCGAAGGGGTTCACACAAGAGTTGGTAAAGGCAAGGATACGTGCGCACACACTGGAGATGAAATGTGCCATTGAGGTGTCCACTTCAGTGTAGTGGTAGGACCGGTAGAGGTAAATCACATGGTTGGGGAGCCAGCAGATGGCAAAAAGACCCACGAACACCAGCACTGTCTTGGCAAGCCGCATACGTGACTCAATCTAGGAAGCAGAGAGGTAAATCGCCTATCACATGTGCAGAAAAATAAATATCACAGGTTGTCCTAATATAACCATAATAATAATAAAAAAAATCTTCTATTCCAGCTGTTTTAAATTTCTGACCCATCTGACACACCAACATTGGCTCAACCAATGGCGTGATTTGGGGCGTGACTAATTGTTTGCTCGACCAATGGAAGACCTTGAATTTTTCCAATTGCATTTGGTGACACTATTGGCACAGAGACTTCACACTTCAGTTTTATTATTATTTTTTACTACTAATTGTTATTACTAATAAAAATAGCTTTTATGATGCATTTATGTTTATAAGCACTGAACAAAATATGAACTAATTATGTTTAATAACAGGCCTATGCATTAAAAAAATCACAAGAAATATATTGAACAGGTAATTGTTAAACCAAGATGAAGAATAACAAAAGCTCCAATTTGATTAAGGAACATTTAAATGGTCCCTTACGTATGGTACCTTTCAAATGCATACAGACTGTATTATTCACATAACAATGCAACAGCAGAGCAGATGTATCCAGTCTCATCTTGTTTTGTGAACACCTTTCAAAACTAGCTTCTGAATCACCTTTCAAAATCAATTACAACAACCAGAGGTTCACTGCAGCAATACCTCTCTCTGCATTTTCAAACTCAGCAATGGAAAAACTACTCAATAGAAGTAAAAATTCAAAATATATAATATAATTTAATGGTTTTATTTTGAGAAAAAAACATTCTAGAAGAAAAAACAATAGCTTACTTAACATGGAAAAGCCTTACATAAAATTACATTGTGTTTGTTATAAAAACATCTCTTGAAATTGGAATATCAAAAATGATAACAAGGCCTTTATGTAATCGTTGTGTGTTATCATGCATGATTAGGGTATATTAGATTATATTTAGTTAAAACTATAGGATATTTTGTATAAATCAGAAAAAGTGACAAAATTACTTAGAGCACTTTTAACCCTTAAATACCTAGACCCTTTTTGGAGCATCTGCACCGCCTGTCCTTTTCTTTGTTTTCTAACCCATTATAGCAGTCAGCATCAAGTGCCATATATCATTTTAATCAGGAGAACTTGAAGTTTCAATCTATCTCATTTAAATAATCCAGTTTTACATTTATTTTGTCTTAGAATGGATGAATTTACCAGATTTAAGAAAAACGGCAGCATATTTTTAGTGATTTTTTTTAACTCAACTCAAACAAATCCTCCTGAAGTTTTTTTTTTCCTTTAGAAAGCTGTACTTGGATATTCTACATTTCCAGATGTAATTTTGACTACATGTAACAATCCCTAAGCAAGTTATAGCCATTTATATGGAGCGAATTATGTGCCAAAACCTCACACACACACAAAACGTGTTTTACTCACACCCAATGATTCACAAACAAACTCAATGTGGTTTGTAAATACGAAACATCACTCACAAACTAATGCATATTGTTCTGCAAATAAAAAACGTACCTATCAAACAAATACAGTATGTTTTACACATACATAGAAACGTATTTCTTCAATGACAAAAATATCATCCAAGTACAAACTAAAATCTTTCAAGTACAAAACAAAATTCTACAAGTACAAAACAAAATTCTACAAGTACAAAGCAAAATTCTACAAGTACAAAACAAAATTCTACAAGTACAAAACAAAATTCTACAAGTACGGAAAAACTGTCACGTGACTTTTGACACTATTTTTCTGCGTCCAGGCAGATTTTCTCACAAATGCAGTTGAGCAACTTCCTCTTCTAGAACAGTAGATGGCGCTAAGATAGGGGATCAATTTCGCGCTAGTCTCTCGGGAGAAACACTGATGTGAAACGCATGCTTGCCTTTGCCCATGGGAAAATGAGCGGTGAACAGGTGTGTTTCTGTCTTACTTTATCTATAATTTACCTTATTGAGGTTTTGGTAAATGTTTATTATATAGACAGAAATCCACATTAGCACTTAGTAGCACTCCACCCTAGGATAAGGATATGGACGCGGAAAAATAGTGTCAAAAGTCACGTGACAGTTTTTCCGTACTTGTAGAATTTTGTTTTGTACTTGTAGAATTTTGTTTTGTACTTGTAGAATTTTGCTTTGTACTTGTAGAATTTTGCTTTGTACTTGTAGAATTTTGTTTTGTACTTGTAGAATTTTGCTTTGTACTTGTAGAATTTTGTTTTGTACTTGTTGAATTTTGCTTTGTACTTGTAGAATTTTGTTTTGTACTTGAAAGATTTTAGTTTGTACTTGGATGATATTTTTGTCATTGAAGAAATACGTTTCTATGTATATGTAAAACATACTGTATTTGTTTGATAGGTACGTTTTTTATTTGCAGAACAATATGCATTAGTTTGTGAGTGATGTTTCGTATTTACAAACCACATTGAGTTTGTTTGTGAATCATTGGGTGTGAGTAAAACACGTTTTGTGTGTGTGTGAGGTTTTGGCACATAATTCGCTCCATACATTTATTACAACATTATTTTAGGCGATTTTCAGTGTATTTTTTTATTTACTGACAATTTAGATGTGTCCAAAAAAGTTCAGAAAGTAAAATAAATAGAATGATTGTAATAGAACACTGAAGCAAAACAAACTTTATATATATATATATATATATATATATATATATATATATATATATATAAACACACACGCACACACACACACACACACACACACTATACACACATATATGAACTTTCACTTTACCTCCATGCCTCAGTTCAAATTTCCAAAGAAAGATGCTAATTGGTCGTGCAAAAGCCCAAAAACTATGTTTATTGGTTGAGTATATGATAGTTTCAACCAATCTGGGCATGGGGTGGGACTAAGCATCAACAATCATTCATAATTGGCTCAGAGGAACAACCCGCACGGGTTTCTTTGGCGAATCAATGCTGATCAAAACTTGATGACGCAATCACATACACTACGGAGCTTCTGAATGTCCAAACGCGATTAACCCGATATCACAGAAAAGCCGTGAATCTCCTCTTTATGGGACTTTTTAAAGCATACGGATTGGAGTAGCGGTTTAAAAGTTCTTAAAGGGGTCATATAATGCCATTTTTGTACTAGCTAATATGATTCTTTAGGGTCTAAATTAAAAGTTTGTAATATACTTTAATTAAAAATTCTCATTAGTATTGTAAGAAAACACTTATTTTACCTGGTCAAAAACAGCTCTGTTTTCAGCACGCCGTTTCAGTGCATATGACTTTAAATGATAATGAGCTTTGCTCACTCCACCCCTCTGTTCTGCGCATACACCGTTTGTAACACAATAACACAATAACCACGCGTTGTTCATTATAAACGTGGGATTATGAATTATATTGAGAACGTTGTACATAGAAAACATGCTGTAATGTACCCTGAGTGTAAACCGACGCATTCATCGTGAAGCGTGCAGCTGGCGATTTGCAAAGATTATATAAATATTAATATAAAGATTAATAAAACGTTACACTCACTTTAGTTCTTCTGAAGGTTCAGCAGGAAGACGAATAGGTTCCGATCCTTTATTCAGGTGCAGCTTCTCAGCAAAACCAGCTTTACACTGATCCTCGTTTATAAAGCAGTCCACTGAGAAATGATTCGGCAAACATGAGAGCATTGACGTTGCTCGTGGGGAATATTCCCTTCGAAAACAAAACTCAGCCACTGCGTCTTCAGCGGTTCGGATTTAGGAACATTAAAATGACTGCTGTGTTCGTTATTACGCCCAAGAACAGAACACCACAATCGCTTAGACGCCATTCTGCTCATAGACAGTGCTCCAGCATATCAACAATGACCGCGCCGGTCCGCGCAGACTATGATTGACAGGACGAGCGAGGGCGGGTCTGTGTTGAATCACTGCTGTCAATCAACAATCGCGGGAGGGGCGTCCGTTTTATTGACGTCACAAAAACGAACGGCTCAATTTGAGGCAGGGGAAAACATATAAGGAGATTAAAACAAAAACACTGGATGGATTTTTATCATTATATGATGGTTGTGTACAGACACTGCCAACACACATTTCAGTACAATCAACTTGTAAAAGTGCATGTACCATTATATGACCCCTTTAAACATTTAAGAACAACAGTTATTTTTTGCCGTCGGCGGCCGTATAGGTCTTTAAGGGTTAAAAAAAGGAACAATTATAATGATAACAGGTTTGAAGCATAACCTGTGGCACAGCGTCATTTTTTTTAATGTCAACTAAAATCTAGGAAAGTCCCTGAACTTTTGTTAAAGGTGGGGTATGTGATTCTCTTTTTTGTACATTTTTTGAAAATAACTTGAAATCCTGTTCCTAACCCACTACAGCCACTGAGTTAGAAGCACTGAAATGAAAATTAAGCAATTTAATCATCTGTGGAACGGGCAGGACTCGAAAAACTCCAGCCAATCATTTCCAAGACCACCAGAATCATTGGACAGTAAGTTCGTCAATCAAACGGTTGTACCACGCCCCCCTCCCCCCAGCGCGCGTGACCCCCGTCGTGCGCATACTCAAAGTTTGTGACGCATGCGCATCTCGTCAGTAAAGCCGGTTCCATGATTAGTAGTAAATCATCATAACAATCTCTCGCGCATCTGAGTTTTCTCTCGTGCATGATTGCGCGTTCTTCGAATGGGTGGAGTCAGAGCCGGCGTTGGAGGAAAGAAGGTAGGACCATTTGAATTGTATATTTTCAAAATCTGCCGGTCGTTTTACAAATCACATACCCCACCTTTTAATACATTTAGAAAAATGTTGTATATAAGTTACTTAGCTATTCATTGCTAAACAATTCAACTGTTAATCTAACTTCAACAACTGAAGCACTTGACCATGGTACTCACCTGCCTCCGAATGTGCGCATTTCCTTCCACAGGCATGTTAATCGCACTCTCAATCAGACTCCTGGCAATGAAGATGTAGTACACAGAAATAATGAAGAGAGGAATGATATACAGAATGAGAAAGGAGGCCATGGAATGGATTTTAGGTTGCAGGTCTCCAGCGTGAGGGTACGGGGCACATGCTTTAAAGGTCTCATTGCTTTGTGGGATGTGGAAGGTGTGGAGATCGGAGAACACCGCCTCAGGGATGGCCAGGGCCATGGAGAGCAGCCAGATCGATGCCGCCCTCAGGCAGACCTTTAGCGAAGCTTTAGATGCCTTGATATCCATTGGCTTGACAATGGCCTTGTATCTAAGAGACAGAAAAAGACCCCAGAAACAGGAGGCATTTTAATTAACCTTAAGAACAATGTTTTAATTAAGAACGAACACACATAAAACATTTTTTTTGACTAATTAACTCAGTGTCTGAGTTGCTGAGTTCAGTCAAAGACAAAGTCCCTTACAAGGAAAGACAGTTCACTCGACGGCCACATTTGCAACGCCTCTGGCCAGCTATTTCGGGCATCCAAGACCAAAGTCCACTTGAATGGGGGAATCCTGAAATCTCAAAAACTTCTTGCCGAACTCCCAATTAAATAACATATTTCAAATCAGCAACAAAATATGACATGAACTGTCCCATAAAGGTTGTTTCTTATGCTCAAACAGCGTTAAAAAGCTTATTTTTCAACCTAAAGCTTATTTTTGCCGATGCGCATTGGCTCTTTTATTTAGAAGGCGGGATGTATTCCGGCAGTTTCTCCCCCTACCTTATTCAGAGCAGCACCCTGAATGAAAGTGAGGCTATGAGGGATCAATGACTTACTGTGTTTTCAATGGTGTAGATCACTTAGTTTTCCACAGCTCATACGGTCTGGGGTTTATTGCCTACTGAAATTTTGCAGTGTTTTGTCAGCAGAACAATCCAAAAACACATTAAATAACAGTACAACTCACTGAAGAGATGTGTCTATCCCTCACAGCCTCGCTTTCATTCGTGTTCAAAAATCAAAGATGGCGCTACTGTGAATAAGGTCAAATCATAAGTAATAGGAGTGAACCAACCTCTATAGACTTTGGTTCAGTTCAGTTGTACATAATGTTACAATTTTCTTAATGGATCAGCTAAGAACAGAAAAAAATGTCCGTTAGGCCTTTAACAAAACAATCTGCCTATAGCAACAAGTTAATCGATGGTATATGCTTTTGTTCAAGTACATAGCCCACATTAGTTCAACTTGTTTTTTAAATAATAATGTTTAATTGTAGGCATGTTGAGAAACTACATTACCCATGATTCTGCAAAAAAAACCTCCACCAATCAGAGAATTGCAACAAGCAAATCGTGACAAACAAACACTTTACTGCCTGCCTACTCCCATGAAGCACTTCAAAAGAGTCAGTTTTCCTACACTCTCAAAATACTTTGTATATATAATATACATATTTTGCAACGAATGTAAAATATATTGTAATAATATATATATATACAATTATAATATATATCTTTCAGAACATTACAAACTTCAAATCAGCATTTATAATGTTGTGATTCACTTCGTAGCTGATGGACAAAAATACTTGCAGAACCAAGGTAAAATCTGAAAAAGTGGTCGGGCACTGTTGCACATTTGGAATTATCAGATCACTGGATGGATTGGCCAAACCCATGTAATATATATATATATATATTTACCAGAAGTGAGAATAGCCTATTCTATGACTGATTTGAAGCCCATCAGTATCCAGACCACAGGAAAAGATCCTCCCACCTGTTGTTTATTGCCGTTCACCTAAACGGATTAGCCTCCAGTGCTAATCAGACTCCCACCACATAGATCATGGCACAGTCTTCCTGCTTATTCATTTTTCATTTTATTTATATAAGAGGGAGATAAGTGTAAGTGGAATTTTATTTCAATCACATGAATTTGTAAAGTGCATATCACAATGTACGTGTTGTTCCGAAGCAGCTTTACAAAGAACATTGCCTCACAATCCCCTCAGTGAACAAGTCAAAGTCAACAATGGCAAGGAAAAACTCACCAATAAATCTCTGACTTTTCGTGAATTTCTAAGCACCTTCAAGTTCTGGCATTGGTATAAAAATATGAATCACTTCACGACACTATCAACTGTTTCTCATTTAACACGAGGGCAACTCGACCCTCAGTTGATCCATTGCTCTGGAGGTGCACTCGTTACTCTTGAGTTCTCTAGAATCAACACCAACAGGCAGAGGAAGCAGTTCATTTTTCTCCATCATTAAGCATGTTCTTTATCATTTCCGTTCACCTGCTACTATCAGACACCAAGTCACACACTTCCTCAAGAGAACTGACAGACCAAGAAGGCATAAAATTGGAGCCTTGTGTATATGGGATACAAACACAGATGTGTATATGCAATAGAATAGAATAATTGAATATAATCAGTCCCTTGATTGCTAAAGTCTGGGTTTATTATACACCTTTTCTCTTTTACATTGTGAATTACACAAAAATTGGTTTTTTTTACTGGCTTCTCAGCTTTTAAAGTTTTTTTTTTCAACATAAAAAAATACATTTACAAAAAATTGTGTGATAAAGACATTTAAACACAGGCATTGCTTTTCAACCGAACTGTTTTGACAAGTGTGACAGATCATCAGCAAAAGTGGCACTTTGAGTGGGATTTTGAGTTACCTGCATGTGGCATTACACTTTTCTTCTATTGAAAAGGACAGAAGAATGAGTCTGTGCCCCTACTCGAAAAAGCATGTCATATCTTTAGATTGTCATGATGGAATTTCAGGTGGTTAGTTACTGGTCTATCAACCCTGCAACTTGTTCAAGGTCTGCCAGATCAGTCTCACTCACACTAGTCACCTTGGCAGACCCTAGCATACCCTCACAAATAAATAAATACATATCTTGCAACAGTACTAATATACATGTAATTGACCCTTAAATAACCATTTAAAAACCAGAATAATGTTTTTTTTCAGCTGTCTTTTTATAGAGGCTATGTTTAAAAAGAGCATCCCCATTCTCAAGCTTGATTAATTGACAAAGACTTTAGAGGTAGTAATTATTAATGACGTTCACATTTTAATCGCTTCCTGATCTAAAAGCCAATCAATCACGAAACTTAATGTCCCATTTGACATGATTTTCCACTTTAGCTGAACTCAGCATAATAATAAAATGTAGTGACATTTTACATTAGTGTTTATGTTAATGATGATGACTCTATGAGTCATTTTGTAATAATTTCGAGGAGCTTGCTTCATTGACACATTGTGATGATTGCAATTAATGACATTAAAAATATATTTAAACTGAAATGGTATTGTTTGGCTTTCTGAACCGATGTTTATAAAGGTCAAGGATATATATCGATCTCTTTACCTGTCCGCTGCCAGCGCTGTGAGCGTGAACACCGACACTCCGACTGAAGTCAGTTGAATGAACGGGATGAGTTTGCAACCCATCCGCCCAAACAGCCACTCATCCGCCAGAAACTTGCTGGCATCCACGGGCGCACAGGTGACCAGCAGCAGCACGTCTCCGAGGGCGAGACTCGACATGAACAGATTGGGGACATTGCGCATGGATTTCACGATGCAAAACGTCCTAATGAGCGTCACATTACCAATAAGTCCAGCAGTAATGAGGAGCGCGTAAACGGTTGCTATAATAATGCCTGAATGCAAGTGTGGATGCTCCGGAGCGGTGCTGGTGTTGAGTATCTCCAGAGAGTCGCCCAGAAACTTTACATCTGGTGTCGGGGTCAATGTTGCGTCAGACATGTTTTCAAATCAGTTCTTGCGCATTTTGAAACTCAAGTGTCCAATATAGACGCATATTGCCATGAATACGGTTTGTACTGTTAGTCCGGTGATATTCCTTTCCAGCTCATCCTGTGCGCAAATGGCGAGTCCATGCGAGGTTTGGCTCCTATTATGCCAAATCGATGCGCCTGCGCTCTCATGTGTTGGGAAACTAATAAGCCATAAAGCCTGTCTCTAAATCTAGTGAGCTGCCTACAGACAATGATCTTTGACATTTAGCTCTTAAAAGATGAACATTCATGGCATCCAATTTGCATGGATACTTCCTGTATTTTTTTTTTTTTAAATATATATTTTTAAAAGTTACTTGTGAAGTTTCTATTTTCACCTATTATTATTACTAATTAATTATGAATAATTACTTGCAGTGTAGCTATATCTCCTATCAGTTGTGCTAATTACAAATTATGTTATTTAGATTTATTTTTTCCCCCATGCTTGTACAGCTGAGCTGGGCATAAAAGGTCAACTAGATCCTCATGGCAACGGTGAATCATTATTATAAATACATTTCAAAATTCAGCGGCAAAAGATCATTGTCTTGATAGCACTTTCATAATCCTTTTATAATACTGTATGTAAATCTCGAATAACAAACCTGCACTCTGAAATCTGATGTAAACATGAATAGCTCTCGGTTTGTGCAGTTCTTTGAAGCTTGTTGGTAGCCATCTACCCTAGGCCTAGGGTGAAGGTATATGGTCTGAATGTATGATCTGAATAAATGGTCTGAAAGTACAGAACACATAATACCACAGAGTGACCAAAGATATAAGGTCTCCACAGCAACAGACTTTAAATTTAGTGCAAATGAATGGAGTGTAGATATAAGTGTTTCACCCAGAACAGGTTGATGACTAAAAAGAAAAGTTGATACCCGACAATGGTTGTGCATAAATGATCCAATTTAACATTCAAATTTGCACTGGGTTGATTATCCGACCAAAACTACATCAGAATTGATTTGCTGAGCTGATTAACAATTACGCTGAATCAGTATCATGAATGCCGGCGTGCATTTAACCAACCACTCCATAATACACAAGAGACACCAGCTATCAACACAAGACATAGCTGTTCACATAAAGAGGTTCAAGTACTGTACAGATGCATAATGAAAGATCTGGCTGTATAGTGGAGAAAAACATTTACATCTCCTTCTCATATACTAATGCCATAGTCAAAGACATAAACCTATAGCATATGTGTATAGGTCATGCAGCTGGGAGAATGGATGAAGTATTTTTAGTGATAACAGAAGTCTTTGCTTATCTTCACCGGGTGTGGATGAATAGGGCTCAGACCGAGGCCTCATTGTGTTGGCGAGAAAATCTTGTATTACACAAAGAGACGGAATGACACACAAAAGGCATTTATAAAATCTATCTACCAGGTTCCCCACTTCCCAGACCTCCCACACCTTCCCTTTATTTTGCTGGTGAAATGGTCCACCTCAGTTTCAGTCAGAAACATGCTTTACAATCAAAATGCCACATGCGGTTCCCCACTACATCTGCTCTCCTCTTCTGATAACACAGCAAGCTTAGCTGGCAAAATCCACTCCATGAGCACTTTACATTAAAGAAAAAAAGAAGAAAACAAAGAAGAGGTTCTTGTGTGTTTTTAAGACTTTTTTTTTGGCCTTGTTGGTTCAAGGTCACTGGAAACATGCTAAGTAAATCTGTGTTATTGATGGCGATATTTACACAGCAACAGCTTTATGAGTGCCAATGAATTGAGAAGTGCCTATTTGTCACCGTTTATCACAATCCTGCAAACCGCTTTCAATGTCCCAGAGCCCATTATCAACACAATTAGTGTGACATCTGTGAAGCTGTAAGCAAAGCAAAAATCACTCTGAACAATGTCAGCAACAGGTGAATTGATTTGGCTAGTCGGGTTCTTACAAGCATGACCAGTATATGTTGTGTTGACACCCAAAAAAATTATTTTGGGACATGTGTTTGGGAATGTTTCTTAAAATTGTTTAAGTGACAGCTGAGAGCAAAAAATGGGTTGCAGATTTGTTCTGGTATAGCAGACAGCAAGAAAAGATGCAAATAATACAATGCCACTAACCATATGTTCATGTGTAGTTAGGATCAAATAAACAGGCTTATATATTTTGGTGTTTATGTCAAAAGCAGTGCACCGAATCAAACTCCATATGGTATTTTCATGCAAACTCATCAGTCACTTTTTAGTAGAATCTAGCCAAAATGGTCAGAAGCCAACATGGACAGATTGTGTGACATGACCTCATCCTCAAAAAGCATAGACAAAATGATTTCAATCAAATTCAATTCAATTAGTAGCCAATATCACGTCATACTTTTGACATACAAATTTGACAAACAGATATCTACATCCCTACTCACTGTTCAGGGAGCAATGAACACTTCATAGGGACCATGTGAATATGAGCACATCCTTATTGATTAACACTGATTAATACTCACAAAACTTAACTTTCCAAATGATCTGTGATGAATGATAGTCATGTGGGATATAGGGTTGAATTAGAAATACATGATTAAAAATGAATGAAGAAAAATAAAGACATGAATGGAGAAAAAAACTCATGGCAGAAAAATGAATTATAATATTTAATTCGACCCACTGTGTGCAGGGACACACGTTTTTTATTTCTAATTATAAAAGTAAATCTTAAGCAACTGAAAGTGAAAGTTTTAAAATTAAATTTGTAAGTTAAAGTAAGACTTATAAAGTTATAAAGTGCTGGTATTGTGTGTAAAATACTACTCTTTTACCATGATGAAAAAAATAGTGACTTTTTATATAATATCGATTCTTTTTTCAGTCTGCCCTGAACCGCTTCTCAATTGGCTGTTATTCAAAATAATGTCTTTGTTTCTCTTCGATAATACAATTCCACCTCAGTGCGGCAATTTTCCTAAATGTCACAGGAGCTGAATGTTATAGGACATCTATAGGACATTATCTTTGAGACACTCCTTCCAGATAGGCAGAAAGCATTTGGGGGGATGCTGCAATTATTGAGCCGTAGCCAAAACCTGGATATGTCCATTAAATGTCATTCTTTATTATGTTAAGCAAACAGACAAAGAGCCCAACTCTATGAATCCAACCCATAATAGCATTTCAGGAATTCCATAAGAATAGCCTATCTGTCTCAAAGAATGACAAGAAAATGGGTTTCTTTTATTTGCCACGAACAATGGATAAATAAGAAAATAATAATATTTTCAAGTACATATTCATATTATGCTGTAACACAGGACACCTTCCTCATGTGTTACGAATTAAATAACGACTTGATAACAAGTAGTAATAAATTCTGGAAGGAAGAAAAGACTAATCATGAAAAACAAGCAAAGAAAATTCATGTCAAATGTTATCAGACTGGCAGCAAACTGCCGTAACCTTTTCAGTAAAACTGACGGTGAAAAGGTTTAGAGACCTTTGCTTCTTATCAACTAGAGATAACCACAGAATTATAGTGCTGATGGCTACATGATCGAAAGGTTTCTTCAGTTCTGCCATTCGACACATGACTAAGAGTACATGTTATAGATTTACCTGCAGTCCACTATTAGATGGTTGATTAAGGCTGTTTGATTCAGGAAACAAAATCTATCTCCTTGTTGTTTAAAAAAACATCTTACATTATGATTTTAAACAGAGGTGTTTAGGAGGAGGTCTGTCAAAGGAGGTGCTTAACCTTCAGAAAGGTTGATTATCTGAAATTATGACATTTTTTTCGCTCAAATCTAGCAACCCCATCAATCTTTAGGTCGTGTCTACAGTTTTAAACCTTGATTTTTATTATTTTGTAGCAACAAACAAAGAATAAACATCAAAATTAAATAGACCTAATTCTAATTGCATAAAACAAAAGAAAAAAGTTGAATATATTTTAAAATGTAATTTATTGATGGCAAAGCATCATTACTCCAGTCTTCAGTGTCTCATGATCCTTCAGAAATCATTCTAATATGCTGATTTAGTGCTCAAGAAACATTTATTATTATTGTTGATGCGGATAACACTTTATTTATTGGATTCTTTGATGAATAGAATAGTTTTATAATTCAGTACAGAATATTACTGTAAAAAAAACACACAAAAAAAAACTTGCATGCTCCTGAATGTTTGCTGGTAAGGAACAGGAAATATTAGAAATATTGTAAAGGGAGATTAAAAAATGATGCGCACCGAAATTTACTGAAGAGAACATACTGTTTATGTCTGCTTGATCCCTGAAAATCATTAGTGGCTCTGAGGGGGTCCTGCTATATGCTGCTTCTGGAACTCTGAGATTTTCACTATACACGTTAATGCCATCTTTGCACTGATGGTTGAGCACGGATTACATATGTCCTTATAAATTGATCTCACTTATACACACACATGACCACTTACATAGGAAGGAAATAGGGGTGTAACGATTCATTCGTTTTCTCGATGCATCGATTACAAATCCTGACGATGCATATGCATCGATCTTGAAACATGTATTTCGAATTGTGAATCGTTTATTTCGGTCAATATTCGATTTAAAATGCTAAGAATCGAATAATTTGCGATTCGATTCAGTGCTTTAAAACATAAAAACAGTCATTAAATGACTACATGCGCGAATTATGAGGCGTTGTGCGGCGTCATTTCGCGTCCTCACAGCTCTCACACATACTCGCTGCACTCTTACCATCTTTCACTGGATTTCGCTCGCGCTCGGTCCCATATAGCTCTCATCTGCAGATTTTTGAGCAGTCCGTGTTTGAGCTCTCCTCAGGACAGCCATTGGTGTTCGTGTTCACATGAGCAGATGACAGCTCTCTATCGAGAAAGCAAGCCATTGATAAAGCTGCCATATCATTGCGCGGTCACTGCTATGAAACAACGCGTTCGTTGCGTGGAAACGTCACCGTTATTGTCTTTAAGATAAGATACTGAAGTTTTACGGAAATGGGTCATACCCGTCCTGAGCAGTTAAAGTAAAACCCCACTTATTCAAGGGTGCGCATTTATTACATGGAAAGAGAAAACGTATAATAGGTGTCTAAAATGTACACCGATTAATCATGAATGATGAATGAAATGTAACTTAATGTCG